TCGTCATTGGAAGCTATAAAAGGAGCTCACTCACTTAACTTAGAATACTCACCTCAAGGAGCAATTCCCCTTTCCATACTGTATTTTCTACAGTAGGAATAAAGCTTAGCTTTGGTCCTATAGTCTTCTCGAAGTTTCATGTATATCTTTAGTACTTTACTACTTTACTCTTCTTGTAAGACTATAGTTGAATTAATAGAATTATCTTCTTTATTTATTTATGCTCATAGTTTATATATTTATCTATCGAATATATGTTCTATGAGTAGATATATAAAGGTCAATAGATAAATACATAGGTTGCTACGGTAACGGTCCAATGACCTTTATATATAAGTTGCTCTAGCTCTAACTTGTTCATCCGTAGGGGAGAGTCCTAGGGAGTTAGCGATATTGCATAAGCATGGTACTTAGATTAGTTAAATGTCGTTGGATGTGGCTATGCCTCACGGAAAGTGAGGTAGGCGGCAGGTGGTGATAGCACTGTCCGTCCTTTGTATTCCTCCAAGTTCGGGTATTACGTAAGAGAGCGTAAATACCAGAACCACGCTGGCAGACCAATAGAGAGTGGTCTCTCGGTAGTACTTGGGTGCCTCGAACTAAGTCCTATGTTGTAAGTATGTATATATTAAGTACATACTAAATATGATTAGTATAGAAGTACATATATAACGTAGTTTTCTAATGCTATTTTCTACTAGACATTATTAAAGAGATGAATCTCCTTTGTGTCCACTATCTTATCCATTATTGTCCTGGCCCCTGTTTTGAATTAATTATAAGTTGATTAATGATACCGCCAAACTTCGGCACATTGACCCCATGTTTATTACAGTATATTGTCTCTTGGAACCCTCAAAGCTCTACATGAAGCACTGATCTATTATCTATGCTATTTATTATCCAACTAAGAGAACAAATCCAATTATGTTACAAAAGCATTACAACAACTTCAAACAAATTAATGTACATGGAACAAGCAGCATAAATTTGTCCAAAGATTAGTGCAAATTTATGCATCAGAGCTCGGAACAAAAAGTACAGCTTTCTACTAAGCAAAACTACATGCAAGCAGCAAGCTAAATACGTGTACCCAGTGTTCATGGCAAGACTCTCTCTTTACACGATATGATTAAGTTACAACTGAACAAACATCTCCTTAGAAAACTGAACATCTTTTGCAGATCATGATGCCTCTAAACATCTCTCCATAGTGTTATCAAATAAAATCCTTTCTAATGTCAACAGTGTTGTTCTAACAAAAATATCTTTGTAATCAACAGTGCTATGATAAATTCTTCCTAATCCACATTGATCTGATATAATCCTTTCCAAATTGACCCCAGAAAACACTTTAACAATAGTGCTGCTCCAATAAAAATAACAATAGTCACGTAGCAACTGCAGCTCTTCTCCAACTTTTGGCACTTCTTCCAGAGCTGCAGAATAGATAAAACAATCAAAATATGCATATCAGACGCCATCACGCCAAACATATGGTGGGGCGATGGTGGAAAGGGTGAGGACGTAATCGGTGACGCATGGCTTGAGGAGGAGCCCGTCGCTCATGGGGGTTGGGGGCGAGGAGGTGCCCTTGAAGACAGCGAGACGGTGATGAATGATGAATGTCCACCGGTGTTACCGCCCACATCGTCGATCCCGTGCATTTCTTATTCAGTTTGGGATTATTCCAAACTGAAGAAGAAATAATCCCAAACTGAAGAAAAAAAATGCTTGGGATCGCCAATGCAGGTGGCAACACCGGTGGACAGCTAGGCGAGGCGTCGCTCGTGTTGTCCTTGACGGTCGGTGGCGGTGAAGAGATGTTGAGGATGGGCTTCGATGGCATCGAGTGGTTGCAGCGAGGAGGCGGCTGTGTGGTTCCTGAGGTGGAGGCACGGAATAGATCAGCGATGCGGATGGCGGCGCCGGTGGGCAGTGGCTGTGGAGGAGATCGGCGATGCGAGCGGTGGCGACAGCGGCGTGATTTGTGGAGTATGGCATGATTTGGTGTGATTTTAGGGGAATGGGATCGAAGGGAGGGAGGGGACGCAACGGGTTGTGGAGAGCGGCGCTAAGAGCGATACCGTGTGACGTCGGACATAACTCATTAGATGATTTTGGATCGTTGGATGTGTCACACAATAAAATGAGTTGGTGAAGGATGGGATAAAAGATTACTCAAGTGAGTTGTGACTTTTACCATGTTTTATGTTATGTTATATAACTTAAAATTAACTATATGCGTGCGATATTTATTTTTTATTTTATAAGTCAATGCTTTTTTATCTAAACTCGGTTAACAACAGAGAAATTTAAATTAGGAAAAACTGAAATAACTTATAATGTAGAAAAGATGATGTAAATAAAAAAACTAATGTTAATTTCTATGAATATTTTTTAAAAAATAAACATATAAAATAAAATAACAAAAAAATAATATTATATTATTTCATAAACTAATTAGTTACCAAACCCAGTCAAAATATCGATGTAAAAATTTCACAAGGAAACCATTAAACAATCGTCGAGTTACCTGCGAGGCAGGGCGGGAGCATATGAGTGGAAGTAGATGCAACTCCTTCAGTGTGACTGCCACTACTCACGCTTTGCCAAGTCGAGCCTCCTACTTCATAAGCTGACGGTGGTTGGTCCTAACTAGGTGCATCCCCGGTCTGGCTCCAATTTGTCTACTGTGCAAATAGATATTGCGGCTGTTGATGTACTTGCTCGATGGTTGCATCTGCATTCCTCAATATGCTCCGAGCCATCATGTCAAAAACACTAATCATGTGAGCTACCTCTCGTGGCACAAGAGAGATAGTTAGCGCTTGGCACTTATACAAATAAAATTCCAGGTTAGGTGGCAAAATCTCATTTATATATCCGGGGAAGAAAAATATAAGAGATGCATTAGGACCATGTTTCCAAGCATGCTCTTGCATAAGATATTCCTCATCAATAATGGAGCGAGGATGTGGGATGTTTATGATTGGACCATCCTCTAATGCTCTAACTTTCATGGCTATACAAGCTATTAAAGATGTGTACTCAACTGGTTCTACCATTTTAATGTTTTCTAACCATTGTTTGACCATAGCTTTGATAGGAGAGATTTTAGTCTTTTTAACCATATTATATAGGATTCTCAACTAATCATTGTGTATTGGCCTCACATCTTCTCGGGGGAAGTATTCCTCGGCAGCATGTCGCGGTACTTCGGCTCTATGCTTAGGTACGGCTCTGTCCTCAGGTAGAACTACTGGGTGTTGTTCTGTAGTCTACACCACCCTCGGCCACGCACACCTTGCTATTCTTGTACTCCTGCCACTTGATGAAACAACTCAATTAATCTTAAGAAAATTTTGATTTTCTTTAGTTTGCTGACTTATTAGGAAGAAGGAGAGCATATAGGAGCTGAGTGCGGAGGCTTATGGGATGAGCTGGCAGGCGCCCAAGCAACCACCAGTACACCTGCACCCTCGCGAAGGTGTGCACCACTAGGGGAGCCAGGGGCGAAGCCATGGTTTGAGATTAGGGGGTGTGGTGTGAAGATAAACCATGAGACCGAATAACTAGTCTTTTAAGAATAGTCACCGTCAATAACAAGCAATGCGCAAACTAATCCTTTAAGAAAAACTTGAATTTTAGCTCTTTAATAATATCATTGGAAATTTAAAACTAGTCTTTATTGCTAAATTCTTTTAATGTAAACTATTAAATAATCTCACAAATAAGTATCATCTATTTTACTTTGAAAAAGATGAGAAATCACAAACTAATTTTGTAGATCATGTTTCTTGCTAATATTTTTAGACTTGCTAACTAACTAAACTGATAATACTTTCAAGCTACACAAAATAAACTAGATAAATACTTATCTTAGCTAACTTAATATAGAGTAAAAACATAAGGGTGTAGTGGTGGTAGTGTTTGGATAGGGGGGGTGTTGGCACCCTTTGGCACCCCCCTTACCTTCACCACTGAGGGGAGCTGTTCGATCTGGCTGCATATAAGCGCGAGCACACACTCAGCCTTAGCAAAGCCAACCTCATCGACCTAGCGATAGCGCTGCTGCACAAGTCCCACCACTTGGTGCTCGTTCCGCGAAGCAAACGGGCGTGGATCCCCGTCGCCGAGGCGTCGTGGAAGATCGTCGACCCACCCTACCTAGGAATGAAACCGAAGCATGGGGAGAGAGATAAGGATGAAGGAAGAATATATCATTTCACTGACATGTGGGTCTCATGTGGGTTCTAATTTTAATTTTGCCTTTTAGTGCCACGTCAGTTAAAACCACCCCTCAATACTGCCTTGGGAGTTGAGAGTTGAGACCCAATGTGACTTGGTTTTGCAAGATTAGAGATGCGTTATATATGGTATTTCGGCCAGGGACAATTTTGAAATTCGGTGGAAGTGTACTTCTTTCAAAGAGTAAAATGCATTGCTAGTACCACAAGTTGCGAGCTGAGTACAATTTAGTCACCCATCTTGTAAAATACTCAAACAAATCACTCATCTTGTTTTAAGGGTGCAAATCACATAAAACATGTGTTGTGTGAGGTATCCACAATGAAGTTATATGCTATGTTAATTTGTTTTGCAAACATGGTCACACGATCCATAGATTAGCCAACGTGCAAGTAAAAGCCAATTAAAGATGAATTTTGTTATTGATTGCCATTTGCCAAGCACATGGTCGTGTTCATTGAAAGCAGGAGTAGTAGCATATATGAAAAATATGAGTGTTAATTTGTAATTTTGATGCTTGCTCTGTCCACATGGCTTAAAAAAAACATAATGTTAGTTCAATACGACCTCCAATTTAAAAATAAACAATTTATGTGACAATGTATTTGATAAAATTTACATCATCGAAGCAAGATGAGTGATTTATTTAAGCAATTTACAGGATGATTAACTAAACTACACCCACCTCGCAATTCTTTTCCAAAAATATAAGCCTAGCTCTCAAAACAATTGTGAATTCCGTCGTGCTCCCTGTTGAGGGGGCAAAACGCAAAAAAGTAAAACCTGGGTTTCCGCCCTCCTCGTGACCGTAGCGCCAAGGCCCTAAAACCCTCCTTTCTCTGGAGCCCCGAACCTTCTCGAACCTTCGTCCCCTTTCCCCTCTCCCATCCCCATGGCGGACAACGCCGCCGCCGCCGCCGACAGCGCGGCGCGGACGAGGTACGCGAGGGGCCAGCTCGAGGCGCTGAGGGCCGCCCCGTCGGAGGAGGCGCAGGCGCGGCTATGGGCCGAGGTGTCCGCCGCCCTCGCCGCCGCCGGCTTCTCCGGCGAGTACGACGGGCTGATGGACGCAGAGGATCCGTCGATTAGGAAGCCGGGGAGGAAGGGGAAGAAGGCCGCCGGGGGCGGGTGGAAGAGGCACGACGCGGCGGCGGCGACCCAATTCCTGGGTACGGCTCCCTTTCTGTTCCCTCCTAGTATCAATTTAGCTGCAATTACTATTTCCCGTTCCATTTCGGGCCAGTTTACGGTTTCTAGGGTTCTTGTTGCAATATTGTAGAAACGGATGAGGTTGGTGCCTGGAGGAATGGGGATTCAGGGGTCCGCTACGAGCATTACGTGGATGAGCCTCGTTCCGTGCTTCAAGTGATTGAGGAGCCATTTGTTCAGGGTGGAAATGCGGAGTACGAAGATGCTGACAGCGATGATGATTATGATGGAATTTTGAAGCCCGCCTTCGCAGTTGATGGGGATCCCGATTTCGAGTCGGGTGAGCCGCTCGATGGCTTTGAGTACCTTCGGCGTGTCAGGTATGCTTTGATCATCTGGCTAGTTAGTTCTACAAGGGCATTAAATATTCTGCTAAGATTTGATAGAAGTGCGTAAAATGCTTATTATCGCAGTATTCTTTTGTGTTCTTAGCTATCCATTACTTAGCCGTTCTACTAGTTTCTCTAGTGTGCTTGAACCTTAAATGCTTTAGTATCAACTAGCTACATCATCTGCGTGTTGATGCGGATCTGATTGGGAAATTTCCGAGAATTTGTCAAAGAATCCCACCAATACATGAGAAGAAATGCATTTTTTCTTTCCTGGTACTACTAGCATTTAAATGTAAGCATCTGGTGCTTACATGGAGTATTCTCTTCTATGGAGAAAGAGGAGGTCCTGGGGTCCTTTTTTGTAGAATGGAAGGAACAGAGAGAAAGAGAGGGATAGGCTGGATTTGGCCTGAGAAAAGGAGGATTTTAAAGCTTTTCGTTTCAGGAAATTGCAGAAATGAACTTTGGTTTATCAAAGGCAGTTATTATGTCCTGAAAATTCAAGTAAAACCTAGTAAATGTTTTAAAGCATGAAGAGTTCAATTAAAATATCTCCAAGCCACATTAAATTGCATCAAAACACAAATGTAGTGGTATCAGTATTGTGTTGCTAAACAGTTGTACCCCTGTTCATTTCAGATTATCCACCGGATTATTGCCACGGATTATTTGCTCCACACTTCTAAAATGTGTTTTCTCAAAATATATTAAAATTTGGTCAGTGGGATACTACTGTTTGATGCTAAATAACCTCACATCTAAGTATGATGGTTGTCTTGCCCATTTTTTGCCTATAAGTGGACATATCAAAATTTTAGGCAAATGTGAAATTATCAAATTACCAACCAATGCCTGCTTCAATTGACAGAGGGCTGTCAAACAGAAGGCTAGCAATTAAGTGTTATTTAGAGAAACATTTAGTATGTCTTGCTCTTACTTTATCATTTCCATGACAACCAGGCAAACCACATGTCTGACTGTACACTGCAACAACAGAGGGTCATGCTTTGATAATGATTAAGTGGTCAGTACTGAAGGGGTTATCCAATAGTTTGTCTTCATTACCATATTAAAGAAACAAAATAGTGCCACACATGATCATACACCTTTTCATGAACAGACAGTTTTTGACACCTCCTTAATGTTCAGAACTCACTTTTAACCCATATGAATTACTTTTGGTCATGATAACTAACCCAATTATCTAATGGCTGTAGTTTAAATCAATAATTATCTAATGGTCAATGTCATTGATAATGTGGCCCAATGTGTGACTTATCTTGTTGCCAATAATATAGGAGAGAAAAGTTGTATGAAGAATGCATTGTACTAAACTACCAATATGGCCTGACTGGCTGACACTTATCAACAATGCAATTGAGAACTAATATATCTGTCAATATTTCATTTATTTTGGTATCTGTATCCCTGCGTATTTCAGCTCTAAACTCTTTGTTTAACACCTCAAGGCTATAATAGTTAACGTTTCTGGACCCATGCTGTCACCATAATCAGAATGGTTGCTGACTTTGTCCACTCAAAGCATTGAGTTAATCTCTTGATCAGATGAGATATATCGATATTCATTCACGACATTTCATGTTGCACTTCTTGCTCCTTCAACTCCACAAGTTAGCTTGATCATTTTGCACATGACTGCCAGAAATTGAGTTTCTTCATTCTCTCTACTCCACGGGTCCTGTCTCGCTGTTTGTCACCTCAGAGTCTTTCATGAATTTATTCACGCAAGCTCTGAATTTTAACATGGTCAAATATGAAAAATGTTTCGTATTGTCTTGGCGACAACCATCATATTTTTGTCTTGGCGACAACCATGTGGTGAAATCCAAGGTACTGATCACTCTCTGTCACCAGCAGGAAGATGATCTCTTTTCTGTCCCCTGTAGTACAGTTTCATATATGTGCACACTCCAAGATTAAATATATACATTTTCCTTTCTCATATGTTTTCAATACATTTCTTACTCAGAAGCCCATAGCATCAGTGCATCACTCGTTAAAAGCATAATAATAGCAAAAAAGAGTTTTATTTGAGTTAGCATTTGGCTGTAAGATGGAAAGTCTTATATGTTTTCTGCATTAGCACAGTGATAAGCCACCCAGTTGTTGGGCTGCTGACCATGGTTCAATCCCTTGGTCTCAACAAAAGAAAGGCCCTCACTGAGATAACTGTTTTGAGAGTTATAAATGAACGTCCTGGCAAGCCAGCATTTGGGCCTTTCTTGACCTAATTACAGTGCATTGTGGGACGTTTCTCCCCAAGGGTCTTTTTTTTTTGTCTATGTGATGTATTTTTCAGTTGATCTATCATCTTCATTTTGGTTTCCCAGCCTCCCAGGATATTAAGTACTCCCTCCAGCTCCATAATTCTTGATGTTTTGGACAAGGTTTAAGTCAAACTCTTATAGCTTTGACTAGCAATAACTTTAAAAATATTTAGCTTAAATGCACTAGAACAACATATATAGATTTGTCTTACAAAGTACTATGACAAAACTAAAAATTTATTTATTTATTGTATACGTAATAGAAAAATATAGTCAAAGATATATTTTGGAGACCGTGTCGTTGTCCAAAACGTGAAGAATTATGGAACCGGAGGGAATACTGAAAATGTGAGAAATGGGAGGAAATTAGTATAAAACCAACCATCTTCACGACCATTTCAGGTATTTAATGTGTTAAAACAGGCATATCCATGTATAACATAGTAAGGCATATGTTGCAAGGGCTTCAGGGCTTGGTACATAGAAAATGTTGGAGGTGTAATCTGTTGTTGCCACCAGAAATATGCTAGAAATTTGTACAGTGCTTTGTGCCATAGAATATGGAACACTAAAAAATTGGCAGCTTCCTTTTCTCTTCTCCCTTCCTTTCCAGATATCGAACTTACTTTAGAATGCTACACAATCAAATATGTAAGCTTTGCCTCTCAGTAAGAGAAAGCATGTCCATACCATAATTTGCTGCCAATAATATGCCTGTACTGTCTATGGGAACACCATCATGTCATCATGCTTCTCAAGACTTCAGAATTCAAATGAGAAACAAATCTCTGATTTTGTTGCATGACGGATGGCAGTTTGGAGGATATAAGCCATTTGCTTGGTGTGGATAATAATGAGTAAAACTTTGTTTCGATGTGTTTGGGAAATGGTGGGATTTCAACCAGTTCCAGATGAATCCTGAGCTAGGACTGCCCATTGCAGGCTCATCCAAGCAAAACATAGAGGGCACAAGCAAGTAGCAAACATATATATAGCCCATGTTTTTTTTATCACCAATAAAACGAAGCCATTGTTTGCTAAAGCACTACTAACGTTTTACATAAAGACAATTCAATACCACCAAAGTAAAACCTCTTGTTTCAGTACCATAAGAACTCTGGTACTAAATTAATATCTATGCAAACCCTTTATCGCCTTTCCTTCAAATTATCTCAACTGATGTATCTACAGACAAAAATTAGGGTATGCAACCCAATAGAAAACAACATCATCTATGTGTTCTTTATCTGTTGAATTGATTACAGCAGCAAAAAAGAATTACATTATTGTTTTCTTATGAGTTTCCGTGGCTAAAAAATTGGCCATGTTTCTTTCTTTGAAAAAAACTACATTTCCTTGTTAGTAACCCAATCAACTTCATTTTACAGGTGGGAAGCTAACCAAATTCCCAGAGTGAAGGTGGCGAAGATAGATTTGAATACGGCTAGAAATGAACAGACGCCTTACATGCCAGAAATTCCTGATATAGCAAAGTGTTCTCCTGATTTGTGTGCATCAAAGCCCTGGGAAGATACATTTATTACTTATTTCTCTGAGACAAGACTGGTAAGCTATATTGTACAAGTTATGTAATTACATACATTAACATTGTAATTTCAAATATGCAACCATGCCTAACCATATATTATTTTTTTATAATAAAAATACATTCTACACATTTTGCAGCTATTTTCTGAAGAAAACTGTTGTAATTATATACTTCCATTTGGTGTGTTTTACATGATATATTTCCTCTGTTCGTGTTTACATGATACCCTAGACTCTGTGCTCTGAACCTTTGTTAAGTTTGACCATTAATGTGTTTGAAACTAATCATTAGATTTATATTAAAAACGCTTTCACAATATTATAATTTTATTATTGCAGCTTATTTAAAGTAATAAAAAGTGATGGTCAAAGTTGCATCTTGAAGACCACAAATTAAAAACCGACAAGTAAAAGAACATGTGTATATTTTACTGCTTAGTCAAGCCCTTTATCTAAATGAACATTTTCAGTAGAGCTATAAACATATTCTCTTGTTTCCTCTTTGTTCCATATGTTTTTTCATGCTATGAACTTAGTCGTTGGTGTCCTGTATTCTATTTTTAATACGTATTTTGTGTTCGGTGGTGGCATGAATGCGTAACCTTGAATGTGTATCCTCTAGTCTAAGGACAGTTGTGTTATAACATGGTTTAACTTATAATGATACAAATCTGCATGCATTGGTCTTTTATACTTTGTAAAACTAGCCATATATTTTTTGGACTTTTTCAAGTCTGTTGTCAGGTGTGGTTTCAACCATGTTATTCAGCTAATGGCTGGTATGATCAGACTTGTTAGGCCTGAAACTTGAGTAACATTTTGAGGCTTCTAGCATGTACTGTAACTGCACAAACTGGAGCACAATTAGCCAATGACTCGTTGTAATGTGAGATGCACCAATTGGTAGATTTGAAATGAGTACACTCATTGTGAATAGAAAGCAGAAGCAGTGTCACCTGTTGGAAACTAGTATGCCAAAATTTGCATTGCTCGCTTGTATGTTAAACAAGAATAGTGTCACTTTCGACCATCTTCTCTTCTTTACGACTCCTGCAAAGTACATGGAAATTGTTTTGCAATGAGAAGAACATGAAACTGATACATGCACAGTTTTGTATATAATCCTTCTGACAATTAGCTGCTTATTTAAAACACTAACTGGTATGTTATGTTTCTTCAGGCATTTTCAGAGCTTGACAGCTCAGATGGACCATCGGTTTCTGGTGGAACAAAAAACTTGTTGAAACCAAGCAACAGATCTGAGCCACAGACTGACCCAACACTGACCATGATTCGCAACATGGATGCTGTCTCAAGAGCTGCAACACTACGGAACTACATCGATATGATTCAAAGCTTGGATAAGCTATCAAGGAATGACTGCCTGTGGCTGTTTTCACTGTGTGTCGCCGTGGACACTCCCTTGGACGCCGAGACATGTGCTTCGCTGAGGTCGCTGCTGCGCAAGTGCGCAAATGTCCTTGCCGCCAAGTTGGAGATGGATGATGAAGTCGCTATGCTGAACATACTGATCACAATCTCTGGACGGTTCTTTGGACAGTATGATAATCATTAGGATAGCAAAGGTACCCCATCTTGTGATATCTCCCTTTTGTTAGTATGCCTAGACGAAGTTTTGTCTCCTTACTCCTTAGACTGCCTATATAGTGATGGAATGTGCACAATCAGTTCTCTGAAATTCTGGATGCCTTCATCACTATAATGGCTAATATAGCGAGGCACCTTGAGATGGGCGTCGTAAGTTCAAAGTTCACGCCTACGGTATGGTTTTCGAAACCTAACATTATCTTCTGTAGTGACTATGAATTTTGAAATTAAACAACTGACTTCCTGCTAGAGTTAAGGTTTTTCTTATGACGTTTTATTTAAGTCTCCATACTCTAAATAATTTCTTGCCAATTAATAATATTTTTATATCACGTAAATTTTCTAAAACTATAATTATTTTTTCACCATCCATTTGCTTTAACTTTTCTGTTATTTCATAAAATGTCAGCAGCAAGAAGCTACTCCCTCCGTCCCTAAATATAAGGGATTTTAGTTGGATGTGATACATCCTAATACAACGAATCTGGACATTGTCCAGATTCGTTGTATTAGGATGTATCACATCCAACTAAAATCCCTTATATTTAGGGGCGGAGGGAGTATTTTACCATAAAAATGTAGCTTTATCGGCTATATTGCGGCTGATAGGTGGGCCTAGTCAATTAGATAAATAAAAGTGTAGTTTTTTAAAATAAAAATCATCAATAATTTTTCCAGTTATAGAAAATGGTACTTTTGTAAAATATATTATTTCAATAAATGGTGAAACGCTACTCTCCACAATTATAAGTGATTTTGGTGTTTAAATTTTATCCACAAATGTAAGAGCTTCAATCCTTCTAACCCCTACATAATATTGCTTACCAGTAGTTATCGTTAGGCATGATGTTTTTTATCAAACAAACTCCGAAACACATTAAATTAATTTCATCTTAACGTTAAACTCTGTTAAACAATCTGCTAGGACCCTTTATATTTATGGACGGGTGGAGTATATCACAGTGGGTAAATATATATGTTGTTCTTTTCACCTTGCTTTGTAGACTTCTAGCACTCTAGGAAAGGCTACTAATAATCTACTCTAAGTGGAGTATCTACCAAACCTTTCGTGATTTATGGCAATTTATGGCATGTTAATTAGTTGCAGCTACTCTGTACCATACTGTGCTACTCCCCGGTCACAAAAAAATTGGGAGAATGTTTTAGCTCATATCAAAATATAAACAAAAGATCTAGCTTGGTAGAGTAAACCTCACCGTTTATGTCAATGACTTCACAAAAGTAGAGGGAGATCTCTACTTTGGAAGTCATCAAACATGTACAAATCAACGTCTCTCCAAAGTAGACGGTATTTTTAATTTCGAAAGGAATCTAGGTATGAGTCAAATCAGCACTCCAAAAAGAATCAAAATCCAAGAAAAAAGTACAGCACTAATTAACAGGCATGCAAATGCAATTTGTTGGACCATCCTCTTGCAAGTCAGATCGGCTTTTAATTTGATCAAATCATCAAAAAGAGCGACAAGAGAGAAAGGACGAACGTCCATTCGTTCGTACGCCCATATGTATGATGAAAGTGATGGTGCTACGAAAGGCAACACTTGTATGGAGACAGATTTGATATTAATTATTATTGAGTCAAATGATTTGATGTCTAGATTATAAATTTGTAAGGAGCCTGAGAATTGGACGACCCTGAAGAGTTGACCCAGATGTTGGGCCAAATTGTTTATGTAGGCTGCTTGGAAGAGCAAAGATTGAGGTGACAAAAGGCATGTCTCTAAGAATGCAAGCCCATTGGACCCCCTACTTTACTTTTATGCTTTCTGCATATTATTTATGTTTTGCTTTGCACTTTCTAAGTGCAATCGGCCATACAATATTGTTGGCGAAGAGTCTACAATCAAATCAAATTAAAGAAAAATTCAGGGAGAGCAAATTAATTTACATGAAAAGAGTACAAGTTCCCTTCCATGTACAGTATGCCAAATTAAAGCCTTCTAGTAGATTGATGATTATTGTCTATAATAAAGACATAGTCCAAAGTAAGGTTTTCTTTTTGTCGTAATTCATATAAAGCCGCACCGGAGATGAAAATCATGCAAAAACGAGTTCTGAAAATAATGTCATTTCTACTGAACCCTGAATAATGCTGCCCTTTGCACATATATATATACTTCAGTCTGCAGAAAGCAAGAAGCATACATATATCTCTCCCACCTTTCAAAAGAATTGCCCTTCTCTTCCAAAGAGAAAAAGATAATGTCCTAAAATCCTTCTTTTCTTTTCAACTGAAAATGACGAAGATGTGGCTTTTCTCCATAGATAATATTTCATTAAACTTTTAAGTTCTATATCTGTAGGTAACTACCAAAAGAAAGATAGTTGCGAAAGAAAAACTAACAACGTACTATATCTATACTACTTTAAATGATGTTAGTGATGGTGTCCGAGTCTGCCTCCAACACTACAGCTGACATGTTGAGCCATAAGGTTCCCACATGTGAATTTGCTTTGGATATGGTATTATGTGCCAAATCAACTAACTACGCTATGAACTTGTAATTTTTGCTTTTGCTTTTATCTCTAATAATATCTATTGCAACGCACGGGTTTTTAGCTAGTAAAGATTACCAATTTACAAATAAACTGAACACGAGGGATCGCATGCACCTCCGTATAATGTTTACTGTTACACACCCTGACTGAAGAATGTTCAGCCAAATTGCCTAGTTAAAACCTATCAGTACAAATAAATAGAATGTACCAATGCAGCAATGCTTACTGTATTTGGAATGTAATAGGAATTGAGAACAAACAATGCAACACACATAATTTACAATCCAAATGATCGATCTTAGGAACATATATTTGGTAGGACACCACATAATTAAGGCCGTACACAATTAATCTATGCAATTAATATAATTGAGAAAAATGACAAACCAAGCAGCTAGCTGCAGGCACCCCTGGAATTTGGCCCTCCTGATAAAACAAGATCCACGCTCGTACGGCCAAAAGTGAGAGACACTTTGCTACCAATCTTTAGCCCTAAAGCAAGTTGTCTTTTTTCGTCTCTTTATCTAGGGCTGAATCTGATTCATTTGTATAATTTCTCCCCCATATCTTTCGGCACAAGCTACACTTGAGACTTGATCAGAGTACATTCCTTTGTAGGCTTGTTAAACTAATCAAAAGGGAATTCACACTAGTGTATCACATATTAGTTAACTAGTGATTAGAATCAAAAGTTTTTTCTTTATTTGTTTTTGGATTGAAGAGAGAGAGAGAGAGAGAGAGAGATGATATATGATCTGTATATATATTTATGTCACGGACCACGCTAGCTACAAGGACATAAAAGCATTGGAAATTGCTAGGCATCTGGGAACAAAATTTCAAGGATTTGGCACTCTCTTGCTTTCAGTTTTCAAATGTCACTATTTTACCTTTGGTTTACTAGTTCGGGTAAGGGTATGTATTCCTATGATTGCATATACCATGGGCGTATCGAACAATTTTTTCTTTGCGGATATGACTTTAATCCTCTTTTCCTAGGTGAAATCTACATGCGTCATCTGCAGGGTTTATAATAAGCATAAGAGATTAGGTAAGAGTCATGAGGTGGCATCATTAGCCTATCATCTCTAATTGCTTTCTGGTAATTGTTCTTGTTCCATTTGTTATTTATTATATGAAGTGTAGTATATGGAGTTAGCTAGTAGCAGTACTATACCACTTCTTCCCTATACTTTATTGGCTGAGGCACTGCATCCTCTTCTATATATCAGAATTCAGAGATTGAGTAAGATGCTTATATGCCATCAAATTGTACCTTGTGTTTCTTTCTGTTATCATACATATATTTACCTCTTTTAGTTATTCTCTACTTCATTCAGTTATTCATGATCTACAACATAGAATTACTATAAGGGAAAAGAGAGATGTAAAAGAAACCTGGTATCAATTTATTAATGTAAATTTTGCTAGGACATCACGACATCGTGTTTTTAGGTATAGAACACTGCACAAAGTCACTTTTAGGGGAATGCACTCAGTAAATGTGGTTATTTGCAGCGGACACCGCGCCTATTAAATTAATGTTTTCATTCTAAGGAGGTGAGAGGGGCCCCCTTTTTTACATGGTGTGATCAAATTGCCCTTGTGTTTTTTTTGCTTAGGCTGGCTGCACCCGTCCGCCCGTTAATTAGAACCCTAGGTGTCTACATGAAAACCCATGCTCACCCTGTGCTGCTGCCACCGCCACCACTCTCTTCATCGTTCCCAACCAACCCTGACGTCAGGATGAATGACTGAGCTTGTGCTTCGTGGGGAACTGGCCTGCGATCATGGCTAGCTACATTGCCGTGAGAGCATGTCGTGGAATCAGAGTGATGGAGCTGGTGAATCTAAAATAGTTGCCCAAAGGGTAAGTTCGATTTTCGATCTCTCTTTCTGATTCTACATGCAGGGTCATGCCGTGTAAAAACGTGGGCCTCCTCTCGCCTCATCAGCATGAAAATAATAATTTAATGGGCACGATGTCCTATCGCAAATAACCACATTTACAAAGTGCATTCCCACAAAAGTGATTTCGTGCTACAACAAAAATTACAAAGTCACAATGTCTTCTAGCAAATTTTATCATTTATTATGGCTGGTAAGTAATGATTTACCTCCAGAATAATTATTCTGATCTAATTATTTATTTGAACTAATTACTGAAACTGATGACCTAAATAATGGCTGATCTTTCTTCGAGATTCTTTTCTAGTTAAGACAATGTGAAACCTCGTGCATTGCTGCGGGAGTTTAGTACGATAATAGTGGAAATAACATATAGCACAGCTATACGACGTAAGCTTATAGAATTTACATTTTTGATTGATCATCTGAAAATGCTATAAATCATTAAGTTGATGTGATTTATGATAATTCAAATAGTATATACATCGATAGTTCAAAAGCAAAAGTAAGGTGATGTGACTTTACGAGAGAAGAAAATGTTGGAAATAATTTGGACTTAGATTACTCATCCAAAAGTTAGAAACAATTGAGGTGATATGGCTTAATGAGATAAGATAGAAAACATTAAATAAGTGTGGATGAATTATATATATGTATAGGATATTCTAATGATGTATAGAAAAATGTTCAAATATTATGTAAATGACGTGGGCGATGATTTACCATGCTTACATTTAAAGCTCTAAAATATAATAAATATAGATGATATAACATGTTTGCATGAGGTTTAAGATGTAATAATTGCTAATGGAGTGCAATGA